CTGCATTTTGTTTTCAAAATTATTTTTTTTCATTATGAAAATTGTTCTTGATATATTTGTACAGCTGTACTATTTTAGTTCACCTTCGACTTTGATTCTGGCAGTAATCACTATAATTATACAACTGCCACTATATCCCCACATTAAATTTACAGCGTGTCATAATTTGAAGTATTGCACGGGGTATCTGCTACAGACTATATTAGGAAATGTGAATTTCAAATATGGAAAATATTCCAAATATTTTGAAAATAAGATACTTCCAATAATTTTACTTTTTGGACCTTCTACAAACGGTTAGAACAGGAAAATTATAATAATTCTTATTACGAGGATATCGCAAAGTATGCACTCAGGCAGTACAAGATTGCATGGACCTTCACTACATGTTGGTCGATATCCCAGCTGTCTTGGTGACTTCCTAATATTATAGTTAGTTATAATATAAATATCACATACACAGTGTTTTTTTTGAGTAAAACTGGTTTTTATTGAGGTATATCTTTATTGGATAGATCTTCTGTATCCTTAGACTTATCCTCAGCTATCGATGTGTCTTCATTTTTATCTTTCTCTGAAAGATCTCCTTTCAGTTTTACAGTTGTCAATTTAATTGCTGTCAAGTATTTAGAGTCACCATTCCAAGCCTTGAAAAATTTACAGTGTTTGGCATTTAACAAATCAGGTACCTCTGCAAAAGAAAAGTCATTGTCAATCGTACAAATATTGCTATTAAGCCAACTCATTGTCGATAATTGTCCCTGTCCAGCAATCCCACAATATTTATTCCTAGGTTGGTGTCAGCAGACACTCGGCAGGGATTAATACTACTCTGGCGGTAATCACGACTACATGCTGATGTCAACCTCGGAGTAACAAAATATATTTTTGTGCGCTATTTATGCTAATTTTGTTGATGGCCATGGTATTCTATTTGACGTGAACGCCTTGTGTACACTGTATGGATATTCTGCTCATTCGTGATAATTATTTTTAAAATTCAACTGAACTGATTAGTAATTCAGAAAATATGCATGTAAACGTGAATCATTGTTACCACAATGTTGTCATTGGAAAGAAGCTCCAGGCAGAATGTACAATGAAAAACATAGTTGAACTCTGGTGACTCTGGTTATATAATATTATTTCCCTTTATCATAGTTTGTTTCAATATGAATATGAATTGTCATAATTCATTTTGAATACAAACAAGTTTTGGGGTTGAAACAACAGTTGGAAAGCAGTCTACCGAACGTCCTTGATAGATGTAAATATCTTACAAAAACATTGGTGCCTAATTCATTTTATGGGACATAATTTCCAGCTTTATTCAAGTAATTCAGATATATTAGTATGAAAACAAATGCCTCATCTCAGAAAAAATAAAGTGCTGCATTTAGACATGAAAAATTTCAAACATGCAGATAAC